GGGAAATCCATTTCAATAGGTTTGTAAGTGAAATGTATTCTTTGAAATGGAAAGTAAAAATGCAGACCCCAAGTTGCAGCAGACCTGCTGGAGGGTGCAGAAAGGCTCTCCTAATCCTAGAATCTAAATGAAACAATATATATTAAATATCTAAAAGGCATTTAAATGTGAAAGTATTTTTATTTACATTTCATTATATGTAAATGTTCCTTGGAGTGGGGTGTGAGATACATTTATGTTACATTATTTGATCCCTCACGGAAAATGCTAGTAAACTAAAACTGAAATAAATCTCCCATACCAAAACTCTTTAAACTTCATTGATAAATTCTGTGCTTGGGCAAGTCTTTAATGTTTTCAAAGCCTTGTAGAAATTTTGAATGTCCACGGAGCAAATCTAAGGCATGTACGTGCCTAAATATTGGATACAATGTAAAGCATAACAAGTATTTGTATTTTTTTCCTCCTCATTTCTTGTTTCTACCAGTCTTCTTAGGCAAACAATTTTCGTTGTTCTTTATTTGCACTTTACACTTCAAATCAGCAGTCGTACAATGCTAAACTCCTTCATTTGCCGTAGTTTGTCATTCCCTTTTTGCTGTAACTGTGCCGTGTACTTAACATGCATATTTTTTGTGTGGTCATGGTCAGCCTGGATGCAAGGTGGTGGTTCTGCTTGTCTGTCTGTTCTACATCTTCCAGTGATCACTGTGTGAGTTTCTGGAGCAGATTTCTCTGTTTTCCCATCTGCTGGTCCTTCCAGTCCCGGAAATGACACGTTTCAGTATGCCTGATGATTACACGGTATTTTGAGAGGCTTACAGTAACATTTTTGAAAGCATATTGATTCTAATTATCCTGCTCCTTTAGGGGAACGTAGCACTTTGCAGCTGTGATACTGAGATGCTAAAGATGCTGCAGAAAAGCATGATGCAAGCAAACAGTTCTCAAAGACAGTGTTAGCTCTTCAAATTGACCTATGAAATTCATGGAGTGTTTCAGAATGTCATTTTGGGTCAAATGTGATAAAACGATTTATAACAAAATCTGTGTTATGGAATGGAAACACTCGCATGGCTTGGGTTGCTTTCTAGGAGATTGTTAGGCTATAGGAGACTTCTGCAATTCTAATAATTTTCATAATTTATAACATGCTTCCTGTCATGTTCTTTCTCATTTTCTGAAAAACAGAGTGGGAACCTGGTATACAGTCTGAGATTTTTAGGAGACTGTTTACAAGATGATAAAACAAAGACATTCTGTCTGTGACTCCTTGGTCTGTATTCCCTTCTGCATATGTTCTTGCTTTAACTTTTGGTTAATGTGCCCCCTGTTTCTATCCTCTGGAGATTTTTGAGATGTCTTGAAGATCTGAGTGTATCTTACTTCACTTCAAATCCTCTTGTTGTGCCTAGAGCAGCAACTAGTGAGTTATCACAGAGTATTGTTCAAGTACTATGACTTTCAAAGCTGTTGGAACAGCTGTAGAGAGTCTACACCAAGAAATTAAGCTTGATTCTTGTTTGAAAATACGTCAAGCTATGTAACTTAACTTGACTGAACTAACAGTAGCTGTTCTCTGGTTCCTTCTTGCAGACATCAGGTGAGAAGGTGGGCAAGCTGAGTCTGGTGGACTTAGCAGGTAGTGAAAGGGCAACTAAGACTGGTGCTGCGGGAGACAGGCTGAAAGAAGGAAGCAACATTAACAAGTAAGACTCGGTGATTATTTCTTTTCCTTTTTTCATCAGTAAAATCATGACTGCTAAATACAGTACACTTGTAAAATAGGATAAAATCAGCTTTTGTAGCAAGTTTTCTTCTTCCCTTTTCTCTACTTTTCCTTCACACATACAATACTTTTAGACGTTTGAATGAGATCTCTGCCTATTTAAAATCATTGGCGTCTTTCCTTCTGTACTTGTGTTCCTGCAAGTACCACATAATTGCATTGTGAAGACATGATTATTAAGGCTGAAAACATAGACCAAAACCAAGGAGTAGAGCTTTTGTGAGAAAAGAATGATCAAAAGTGTATGAGGAATTTTCTCCTCGGAGCTCATTTTTGGAGAGAAAGTGAGACTCTAAATATGCATTTGACTTCTGAATATTTACACTTGTTAATGACTGCCTGTGTTCTCTGTGCAGATCCCTGACAACTCTTGGGCTGGTTATTTCTGCCCTGGCAGATCAGGCTGCTGGCAAGAACAAGAACAAATTTGTTCCTTATCGTGATTCTGTGCTCACCTGGTTACTTAAAGTAAGTACTCTGATCTTGTTTGTTTAAAAGGGAGGAAAATAGGAGAAGAGTCCCATTCAATGAAGTAAAAAGCTGTTCTTTTGCCTCGTTTTCTGATTTTGACATTAACCATGATTGTCTTTGGAAAATTAGCTGGATGTAAGCCATTAGTATCTCTACAGACTAAATAGGTTCCCTGTCTCTGCTGAACAGTAATGGCCTAAAGAATAAGGAACTTTAAAAAAAAAATAAATTAAAAGCATTATCTTTTATGGGTCAGTTTACATAGAGTGTCACACACAACCTTGGGGCTAATTTAATTTGGGTTATTGCCACATGCAACTGAACTTTACATACTGGTTAGCTTTGAAGATTTTGGTTAAGACAATTGCCTTTTCCTAATTGTCTAATGTATTTGTTAACGTACTCTACTTTTGTCAGCAGAGTATAATTGCAGTGCATTATCCCAGTTACAGTCTGAGGAACAGGTCAGAAGACTTTGTACATCATATTAATGTGAAATGAACAGTTAAATCATTTTCCGTACTACATAGGACTCTACTTGGTATTCTGGGGGGAAAAAAAGAGCGTACCATGATGGCACTTGGATGAAGACCTGCAAGGTCTAAATGAAGAAACAAATTCTTAAATATGAGTTTTATGTATGTTGAATTAGAAGACAGGCTTTCCCACTTCCTACATACAGTGGCCATGAAGCATGGTAGCCTGATGACAACAAATCTTGGCAGTGTAAGTTTGATTTTTAGGTTTAGTCATCATCTGGATTTCTCCCGTTCTCTGAATGAGTGGCAAGCACAAATGTAACCTCTTCTATCCGTAAAAAGCTTGCCTGCTAGGAAAGGTTGCTTGGCTTTTTTTTTTTTTTTTCCGTTATCTTGCCTGGTACAGTTTGAGTCATCTGGATTGACTTGGATTTCGAAGGATTATTGAATTCGGTGTCATATATAGATTACTTCAGTTTCACTTCTATGATTTTGTTAAAATTTTTCTCTTTCATCATTTGATTGCCAGGATTCTCCATAACCATGTCTCATAGAAATACAAACTTACCAAGTTTTCTTTTCTCCTTGTGCTCTGTTTTATTGTTATCAAGAAGCAACTACGATATTTGTCAATAAAAGGATATAATCTGGGGAGAAACTGATTTTTGGCACCACCAGCCTTTTTTTGTCCTCTTACTTTTGTAGGTGCTCTGGCTAGATTTTGATGTCTTGAATACTCTGCTTTGCTTCCCCACCCATTCTTTGCAGTGTTTTTAAATGTTGTTTGAATTTGACATCCCTGTGATTTAACTGCACATGTGGAAAGAAAAAGAAAAAGTTACTTGCAGGTTGTACAGAGATGTGGAGATTAAAAGAGATGTTTTCCTTAAGAAGATTTGAAAACAAAGTTGACCTCAATGCTTAAGTAAAATAAAATCTCTACTCATGTAACACCTTAACCCCACAAACCTTCATTTTTCTCAGTGCTGTCTTTTAATGAACTTTTTAGCATGACCACTGTGAAATGATATATTTCTTCTCCCTAGTGTAAACATCACAGATACCGGACATCAAATAGAGCCATGAGGGCTACATAAAAATCAGAATGGCCTAACAGAAATAGTGTCTGTGCTTTTCTACAGTAAAATAAATCCTCCTTTCATGGTGTTCCTTGCCTTTAAGACTTTCTTAGTGTTTAAATATATTTTTGCCTCTACATATTTACACTGAGTTTTTTCTCTAATTAAACAGTGCTTTTTGGCTCTCTGCATAATGGGAACAAGACCAGCATGCAGCTTGCTTCAGTTTGCTCCAGTTGCACGTGTGCTGGGGTTCCTGATGTGGCTGGCTGAGCAAGCAGAGTGGAAACTTTCCTAACGAATTTCCAGCGTTGTTGTTAGAATTAGTTATGCCGTTCCACTTCTAAACAAATCCAGCAAGCAGACTGAAATTCCTGTTTAGCACCTGTTTGATGCATTGTAGCTACGATGACGATGGCATACCCAGCACATGCTTTAGCTCATAAATAGGAGCACACTTTTGTTTTGCCTTCTTTCAAGCAAACCTTCTTTGTGTCTTTAACATCCAGCTATGTTAAGTGCAAACAAAAGGTTTTGGGCTTTTGGAGGTTTTTTACAAACAAGCTCATTGAAGAGAAGCTTTATTTTGAAAGGGCAAAATTTTAAACGTTTTTTTAATTAAAGATCAAAGGAGGGACTTACTCATTTAGAGAAGCCTGTTTGTAGAAGCCATGAGATGGTGGGCTATCTTTTCCCTCTAGCTTTCAACTTTTAAAAGTTGAAAGTTACGATGCCAAAGTGGGGTAAGTGTGTTCTAACGCTAGGAGTATCTGTCATACAGCGTCTCTCCCCAAACCTGAGAGACAAGGAGGGTTCAGGAGACCTCAAGATCTAACACCTTGTGTTTAATTTCGTTGAGGATCTTTAGACGAAAGTACCAGGTGAAAAATACTACTGCAAGAGGAGGCTTGAAGACTGGTGTCAAGTTATGTGTGGGAAGCAAAATAGCTTATCAACTCTGTAGCCTTTTGGTTTTATCTAATTCAATTGATACAAACATCTCATTTTCCCATTTTAATCAGAAGCCCTGTATGTTTTACTGATGGCTGCTTTCAAAAATTTTAACTTCTTTTCACAGTAATCTTGGTGCTAGAGAAGGCTGTGCTAGTTTAGTCTTAGAAATAAGTAAGTTATTTCCACTCTGTGTGTCTCTATCACATGCAAGCCCAGCCTTTCCAGGGTAATTTGCAGATGCTGTCTTCACTAATGAGAGGCTGGCTTACTATTTCTCTACCTTTCTTGCTTAACATTAAAGAAACCAGTGAAATCAGCACAACAGTTTTATACATAAAACTTTATCGGACAGTCTGGCATTGGGCTTGAATAGCCACATTACAAGAGGAACTTGACACAACTTATAATGGGTGTATTGTGAATTACGGTGTATCACACTAACAGCGTTCTCAGCTGCCTGTACTGCAGAGTTGCAATTCAAATAATGCATTAATTCTATTTTGGAGCTAATTAATTAGTGCAGCGAAGGAGTTTCCCAAAGTGCAAACTGTTAAGGTTGGGTTTGGAAGCAGAGTACATGGCAAGCTCCCTGATAAACTTCATCTTTTTATGTAGAACAGGGTTGCAGTTGCAGAGTGTCGTTCCTAATTTTTGAAAACTGTTGACGGATTGAAGAAAAGTCCTGGCTTCTGTAGAGCCAGAAATGCCATCGAATGAGTCACGGACTCTTGTTAGTTTTTTTAAGGTTTTCGGTAGAGGCTTTGGAAAAACATTTCTGTGTTACAGCGTGGATCCTCCCAAGCCATGTGTGTGTTGGAGTAAATATTGGCTGCTCCTCAGATGAGAAAAAAGCCACGCTGGTATCGGTCAGAAGGCTGCTCTTTTCCATTGACTTCTTTATAAATACTCTCACCTGCAAGTGCTAACCATGCTGGTGTACCTCACTGTGCTGAGCGCTGTACGAGTGAAATTGTGAATTATTATATTCTCTACCCAGAGAGCCCTTTCGCATGCCCAGGGACAGCAGAGCGGTACCCGTGCAGCAGCGAAGTAACATCGGTCTGTGTGGTCGACGCTTGCCGGACCGCTGAAGCAGCCAGACTGCTGTCAAACTATTTTAGGCATCAGGCAGTAAAAAAGCGAGTGTTAAGAAAATACTTAAAGGGGCGTTTTAATGATTGCTGGGGAAAGCTACGTGTGTGCTTTGTAATTGAAATGCTTAGACAAACAGCTAATGTAGTCAGATTGTTCTAATGGCAATGCCTGACCTAGATTTCATGGGTTATTGAGGATGAAAGTTAATAGCGTGGTTTCTCTCAGAAAGGGATACTGGATAAAAATTAAATAAAAATAAAAGAAAATAAAAAATAAAAAAATAAACCTCAACCAGACAAAATAAGATTTGCTGCAAAATTTAAACCAGAATATTTTATCTTTTAGACTGGCCAAAATTGTAAACCACAATTTTGCCATCAATAAAAAGATTGAATGCTTCCTTCCTTCCCCCGCTCCCTTGACACACTCCCTTGCAGGAATGTGGTTTCACGCCCTTCTTCTCTGTCAACCAGATTCCAAAAGTGAAATTTCTTACATAACTCTACTTAGATGTGTGAGCTGTGTAAGTGGGGGGAAGGGAAGGGCCCCATTCTGAAATGTTTATAAGAATAAAATCAACTGTATCCTTTATAACAATAAAGTTGTATAAAATTGTTTATGAGGAGATCTTTAAGTAATTTAAATTAAGTACTTATTCCAGTACTTCCAGTCTTTAAAATAAGATATTCTGAATTCATTATGATCTTTCCTGCTCCTCTTTTCAGTAGTATCTGAGAAGTCTAATGCTGAAGTGCTTATATTTCTGGTTTATAAACCTAAGCAGCAAACATAGAAGTAAACCTTTGTAGCCCTTACTAGGCACCTTAAAGCCCAAGAAAGGGACTGTTTTCATTCCTGTTTAAATTAAAACAGATTCTGAAAGTCAAGAATGACATTTCCTAAATGTGCTTTAAAAAAAAAAAAGGTTGAAAATAGCAACTTCCCTTGATTTGCACAGCTTAAAACATTAATTTTGCACTGAGGTGCTCTGACAAAAATGGTTCTCTTATTGTTGCCCCCATCTACTCCCAACTCTTGGTTATTATTAGCTGTCTAAGTTCCTTGACTGGGTCAAATAAAAGAAAACCTTCTGTTTTAATTTTATAACTTCCACCACTTCCCAGGATAGCCTTGGTGGGAACAGCAAGACTGCCATGGTAGCAACAGTAAGCCCAGCAGCAGACAACTATGATGAGACCCTTTCAACACTGAGGTACGCAGACCGGGCCAAGAACATCGTTAATCATGCCGTGGTGAACGAAGACCCCAATGCTCGCATTATTCGGGAGCTCCGTGAGGAAGTGGAGAAGCTGCGAGAACAGCTCACAAAAGCAGAGGTACAAATTTTAGTCTTGACTAGCCAGCAAGTCCTGTTAATCCCGTTGTCAGAACTTTCTTACCTGGCTCTCAAAAATGAACGCCACAAAGAATTACTACATGGTATCTGTGAGAAATCTCCATTTATTCTTCTTTCCATTTTTGTGTACGTCAGTCTTGAAACACGGGTGATAACATGAGATACAGGTTCTGTCTGAGCACCTTGTTGAGCAATCTTGTTTTTATTGTGAGATACAGATCAAAAGCAAGAGGACATGAAGGCAGGAATCGGGGTGGAGTCTTAAGATTGTGCAGTTTATAGGCAGAGCTTTGCCGGTGTGTTTTTGGCTACATCCTGCGAGGTGTGAATTCAGTTAAATAATGCTTGCTTGCTTACAAACTTTAGCTCTTCTCAGTTGAATCTCTTACAGGCTCTAGCCAATATTATGAGTATCTGCATAGCTACCTCAATGAAACTGTGAAAGGAGCACGGCCTAAATGTTAGGCGAAGGCCAAGAGCTAGCGTAATTCTGAGTTCTGTTCTCAAATGTGGAAAAGCAGTGGTGATATAATCCATCTGTTTTGCAATTCAGAAAAACTATGATTACAGTATTTGCCTCATGAGGTATGCAGGGAATGCTGGCTGCGGTATTAGAAATGACTAGTGAATTTTGGACTGTTCTTATTTGAGCTGCCTAATATGCTAAGCATCCAATAAGTGTCTATCAGTTTCTTTAAGTTATCTCAAGCTAAATATCTAACAATTCCTCTAAAATATGAACCACAGACTTAACAGTTCTCTGAGAGATGCAAGTACTCCCTGTTTTTTTCATTTGTGAGCATTGATGCCAAAGTAATGGCAGCTTTCCAAAGTAATGAAGTAGTGTTTCCTAAATATGAAGTGATAATACTTGGGAAAGGAAATATTTAAAATCCCTCCCTAGTTGTCATCTCTGTGTCATTGACAAAGAACATGGAAAAATTGGTGTAGTTTGCTATTAAGAGTCTACACAGTAAAGGTCAAAAACATTATTTATTGTCTTGCATTCCTTTCAGTTTAGCCCATTTGTAGCCCATCTAATTGTTCTTACAGAAATGAGCATAAATAACTTTTTTTAACTGAATAAAAACACTGACCTGTCATGACAGTCAGATTATATTTTCAAAGCTTATTTCCAAATATAGAGGTTACCAAGTTGTGCTTTTGGGTATTTTTTTTTTCCTTTTGGTGTCAGTATCCTTTTCTCTCCCAAACAGCCGAGGCAGAACAGAACTTGACAGTTTACTTACCCCCACCCCAGAAGACTAAGGCATTATCCTCTTTCCCCCTTTTCTTTTTTAATCCATGCATTTTGATCTTTTCTTGCTGAAATTAATAGCACGTGTGTTAATTTGTTTGTGCCAAGACCACCAGCTTGTCCTTCCTAAGCTGGGCATTTGGACTAACCGCTGTCAGCAGAGGAGCACACCTGCTGGTCTGGTGTAAATCTGGGCCCATATATATTTTTTATATAAACATTGTAGGGAGTGAGGAGAATGACCTAGCTCATTTTACAGTTCAAGCATGTGAAAATGTTGAGTGATTTTGCCCCAGGTACAAATAAATAGACAAACAAGACTTAGACCTTGAGAGCAACTGGGCTTCATCCTCCTGTCCTGCTCTGTAGTGTCCAGCTCCTTTGCACCGATCGTGGTTTATTGGTTATAATAAATCTTTGTTCTGGAGATTGCCTTGGCTTCACTTTCCTTCCTGGGTGGAATTCAGCTTCCCTTTTACCCTATATTTAGGTATTTGAGATATTCAGCCAGAAAATACTACATGGGACACACTAGCCGACAGTTCGTAGACTGTTGCATCTCAAGGCAGAGGAGACTCCTGTCTTAAATCACTTTCTCCTCCTCTTGAGTGAACTGCAGTGTAATGAGGCCAGGCTGTTTGATTGGGATTCCTGTGAGGACTTTTGGGTTTTGTGGTAAAGAAATGTCTGATGGAGAATGATGCTTGCATTGTTTAATTGACGTTGCCTAAATACCTACCAGCCAAAACCATTTTCGTCTTGTTAGCCGTAATGAAATAAGGATGTAAGGAGGTCCACAGGCTTCCTGTCTGAGGGAGTACCGAGGGGATATGCCCCTACGAGACTTGAGGAAGTAAATATATGTAGTATGAAAATGTTGATGTCCTTTCAGTTTTTGGAGTGTCTGATGGGTGGCGGTGGGGAATGTATCTTCTTATTCTCAAGTTAGCCCTTGGGTGGAACGGGGGCCTTTGACTATTATACAAAACAAAATTAGAGCTGTGATGGATGAGCGAGAAAATCAAATTCCAGTGTCCAGAAGCACATCGTAAGGCTTCTCTCGATACCGGCTCTGTAAAATGCATATGTAGAGGTGGATAACCAGAACACCTCGGCTGCCTTGATATTTGCTATAGAAAGAAAAAATCACACCCATCAGGCCACATCAAAATGAATAATAAAAATATTTTGCTGGCATGTCAGTTTAAGTGCCAGAGACGTTAAGTGCCGTTTTGAGGGAACGACAGCTGAGACAATGGTGGGTAGCCAGATCAGCGGTAGCTTGAGAAACAAGATTGTTTTAATTATGAGTCTTTTGGGATACTCCTAGTGGTATAGAAATGACATCAGTTTGCGTTTGAATATCTTTGTGCAAATCTGCCAATATCGTGTAATTGATTTGCACTGAAGTCTATAAACTCCACTTTTGTATCTGTACTTGAAGCTAATGAAACTAACTTTTTGATGGATTCTGCATTTATATGCAATATATATTTTAAAAACCTCTTTACTTACTGGTAAGTATGCCTTGGAAATTGAGTAAAGTTACGTTTCCTTCTTTCCCCATCTGTGTGACAGCGATGTGAAAAAAACAAAGCACAACAGATTTTCTTGGTTTATTTGCTTTTATTTCTGCAGGCTATGAAATCTCCAGAATTAAAAGAACGATTGGAGGAATCGGAAAAGTTGATTCAGGAAATGACTGTGACCTGGGAAGAAAAATTAAGAAAAACAGAGGAGATAGCACAGGTTTGCTGCTTTCTTCCCTCCCCCCCTATTTTTTTTATGAAAAATAGGTTTGTTTCCTTTGTCTGTCAATTCATAGAGATTGTCTGAATCTCTCCCCACATTTATGGGTAAGTAGGTCAAGCTTACTGCCCTTTTGAAAAGCTTCACATAATTCCTGTGATAGCTGGGTGCCTCCCAGATTGCTATTCCTGTAACAATAATAAATTGTCACTGTATGCAAATGGAGAAGTTATTTACAAAGTAATAATCCATGGATGATAGGATTACAGGGATTTTTATATTCTTCAGACAGTAAAACTGTTGTTTGTGATGAAAGATGGAACATTGAGAGCGTCAAATGCAAGGTTATGTACCGAGTGCCTCAATACACGAGGCAAAGGGTATTCAAGAATAATGAAAATAGAACTGTTCAGGATCCCTGTGTGTTTTAATACCTTTTACACTGATATGTAGGGCCTTAGACCATAATTGAATATGATGATTATGTTGAAAAATTGTGCAGGTCACCATGATTATTGCATGACACTTTCAATTCTTACCACACAAATGCTGACGTGTATTTTTGCAGTAGGGAGCTTTTGAGGGGGAGGATTATTGAAAGGTGATGAATAACACGTAATCAATAAGGAGAAAATGGAGCCTCTGATACAAAGCCCTCTTGTAGCTGGCACAGTCAGAACAGACTGTGTTGACTTTAAAGATCCATTGTAAGAAGTGCTGCTTGTGACTATGAGGGCTTCCTGGCTTTCAGTGCAGATCTGTACCGTGGATTTTCCTCCCTGTGTATAAGGGTGAAAAATAGTAATAAAAAATTCTGCTCTCGTCCTACACAGTAGTTTCTAGGCATAGAAACCCTGAGTGTGTGAGGAGGTTGAAAAACTAGAGTAATGAGCTCAACTCTACAGACCAAATCTGCCTTGATGTTTGCGTATAGCTGCTTGCTTCAGCTCTCTTCCTCTTTGTCTCTAAATTCTCAGCCTGTTACGATGTTTCAGAGCCAGGAGTTTCACCAGCCTCACAGCTGTAGAAAAAGTGATTTTTTTTTTTTTTTTTTAAATTTATTTTTTTTTCTCCAGAGGAGGGATAAGGACTAGTGTTTGTGCAGTGTATGACTGTTTCAGGACTGCTTGGAAACCAGTGGAAGGAACCTTCTGACATCTTCAGAAGCTGTGGTGGGCTGACCCTGGCTGGACACCA